TAACCCTGATATCAGTGGTATCCATAATAGTACCAGCAATGCAATGGCTAGCAAGTTGATGTTGAGTTTTGCTCGTTTTTTAGGCTTTTCTTCATCACATCTATCAAGTTGCATCATGGGGGTTGAACAATCTTCCGACAATAATGGTGCTAGCCGATGTATTGGACGCTTCCAAATCCCGTGTTTCGTTTTGACATCTACAACTCTGATTCTTCCATCATTACCGGAATAGCATTTGATGATTCTGCCCAGAGGCCATTGAAGCGGAGGAGCGTTGTCTTCTTGAATGATTACCAGCATTCCTTCTTTGACGTCAGGTGATTGGTCCTTCCATTTAGTGCGACACTGTAGCTCATTAAGATACTCCTTTGACCATCTTGACCAGAACTCGTTTTTTAGATGATTCACCAGCTTCCACCTGGTTAAAAGCGATTGTTTGGTTGTAGTTTCTGACCTACTTGGAAGGGCTGTTAGCGGTTCTCCTATTAAGAAGTGTCCTGGTGTGAGGGCAGCCGGGTCATTTGGATCTGATGACAACGGTGTTATTGGTCTGGAGTTTAGCATACTTTCAATTTGGGTTACCACTGTTTCCAATTCCTCGTAAGTGAGTGACACGTTGCCAATAGTTCGCACCAATAGATATTTAGCTGATTTGACAGCAGCTTCCCATAATCCTCCGAAATGTGGTGCTCTCGGAGGTATAAAATGAAAAACAATTCCTTGAGCTGAACAGGATCTTATTATGTTGTTTTGAGCATTTGTGCTGTGAATGCTTTCAGCTAACTCGTTCATTTGATTTTTAGCGCCCACAAAATTAGTCGCGTTGTCACAATATAAGTTCTGACATCGACCTCTTCTTGACGTAAACCGGTTCAAAGCGCCTAAGAATGCATCTGTGGTGAGATCACTAACAACTTCCAAATGTACTGCCTTCGTGGAGAAGCAGCAAAACACTGCGATGTACGCTTTGCATGGTCTTTTGCCTCTAATTTTGTGGTGTATCCATATGGGACCACAGAAGTCCACACCTGCGTTGAAAAAAGGTCTTTGAGCTTGGACTCTGTCAGCTGGTAGATTGCCCATGATTTGTTTGAACATATGTGGGCGTACTCGAGTGCATTGTACACAATGTTGCACAATGGATCGAGCCATAATCTTGCCTTTTATTGGCCAAAATCGCTGCCTGCACTGGGCTAATAATGTTTGCGGTCCGCAGTGAAGTCCCTTCTCATGTAAATGTTTCATTATGAGCTTAGCTATTGGATCGTTATATGGCAGCAGCATGGGGTGTTTGGCATCGTAGGTAAGATGTGACGACGTCAATCGACCTCCAACCCTGATGACGCCACTATCGTCGATAAATGGAGAAAGTCCGTGGAGACTACTGCTTCCCTTTAGATCCCTTTTCTTTAAGAGTTGATGTCGTTCTTCATTGAAATCACTTAGCTGTATGGCTTTTATAATTATGAGTAATGACTCATCCAGTTCTAATGGTGTCAAATTGATGTCGTTGTGCTTGCTCTTATTACGTAACCCTTTGATGAATCTCAACACATAGCCAAGAATTCGTTGCAACCTTATGAATGAGTTTCCATGCCTTATCGTATAAATCATTTTGATTAGTTCATCATCATGTGAAATTGTAAGCACATGTACCTTCCTTTTGACTTCCGCTTGTATATGGTCGGATGTTATCAATTCCTGACGGAATGGTTGGGGCCAGCATTCTTGATTTCCATGAAGGAAAAGTGGCCCATAAAACCACATTGCATTCTTCTGAATGTAAATTGGATCTACACCTCTGGATAATAAATCAGCTGGGTTTTGTTTAGTATTGACATGCCTCCACTGTTCCTTTAGTGTTAATTGCTGAATCTTACTGATACGATGAGCAACGAAAGTTTGGAATGTTGATGGTTCTGAATTGATCCAATGCAATGTTATCTCAGAATCAGTCCACATATATATCGGATGATGTTCATATTCCAAATCCTTTTTTACCTTTACTACCAATTGTGCTCCTAGTAAAGCCGCACATAACTCAAGTCTTGGTATTGTCTGCGTTTTTAGTGGAGCGACGCGTGATTTTGAACAAAGTAACTGAACTGAGATAGTTCGATCAGTCATTTCGGCTCTGATGTAAATGGCAGCTCCATAGGCCCTTTCGGAGGCATCAGTAAATACATGAATCTGAGTATTCCTTGGTTGTTTATGATGAAATATATGTCGTGGAATCTTTACATTGTTTATTTCACATAAGCTCTGACGAAAATGGGTCCATTGAGTATGCATTTCAGCAGGCAGAGCTTCATCCCACGAAAGTTTTAACTGCCACAATTTTTGAACAAATATTTTCGCCTTCACTACTACGGGAGCCATTAATCCAAGTGGATCAAAAATGTGCGCCAACTCGGAACTTACGGTCCTCTTTGTTATTTTGCTGTGTATAGGTCCGTTAGTTTTTATTGAAAACTGATCAGATTTTGGTAGCCAGATAAGGCCTAGAGTTTTTACTGTCTTATGTGACTCACTGCTGACATCGAGATCCACTTCTTGATCTTCTGGAGCGAGTCCTTGAAGTAATTGGGCATTATTTGCGCACCACTTGCGAGGTTTGAAACCAGCTGTCGCCAATATTTTAATAAGTTGATCCTTTGTTGCAATTGCCTCCATGAGACTGTCTGAGCCACTTAAACCGTCATCCACATAAAAATCCTTGCTGAGTGTAGCGGAAATTTAACGGCATGCTCTCTGGCCAGGGTTTGTAGACACTTAGTTGCCAGATACGGCGCTGCTCTTGTGCCATACGTTACCGTTTTTAATTTGTAATAGCACAAGTTTTCTTCTGGTGACTCTCGCCAGATAATGATTTGAAGATATTCATCTCGTGGATCAACTAGTATCTGCCGATACATCTTTTCAATATCTGTTGTAAAAACGAGCGTGGTTTCCTGAAACGCAGTAAAATGGATGAGAGTTCGTTCTACACGACTGGACCATTATGCATGATATCATTGAGTGAGACTCCGGTTGATGTTCTTGCAGATGCATTAAACACCACTCGAAGCTTTGTTGTAGTACTATCTGCCTTGATTACACAATGATGTGGCAAAATGTAATGTGGATGCATTATATCATCCTGATTGATTTTTTCCATGTGGCCGAGATGTTCGTACTCTCGCATGAAGTCAACGTACATCTTCTTTAGTTCAGAATTCTTCAACAGCCAACGTTCAAGACTAAAAAACCGATTCATCGACATCTGCATGGATTCACCAAGAACAGTTGTATCCTCCTTAAATGGTAGTTTCACGACAAATCGCCCTTCATAATTGTGGTGAGTATTTTGAGCAAAAGATTTTTCACATTTCTTTTCTGCATCAGTGAATTTGTCATCCGTTTGATTGATTTCCTCCAATTGCCAGAATTTAGTAAGTATATTATCCAATGCTTCGTCGTCAGCTTCGCTGCACATGCCACAGGTAAGTAATTTTTGATTACCGTTGCTAACTTTGCCACTGCATATCCATCCGAAAACCGTGTTCTGAAGTGCAGGTAGACCCTCACCTATTTTGATTTGACCAATCGATAAAAAGCTGTGATAGAATTCTGCTCCAATTAATAAGTCAATTTGATTTGGATTCGCGAAGTCTGGATCAGCCAATTTTATATTCTCA